TAATTATTATTAATGATAACATGAAAAATTAAACTGTCATTATGTAAAACAGTGGTACTGTATTTACCGTATAACATTCGATTCAATGCAAGATTAAATTCTTGCATTGAATTCTAGGGTAAATCTATCAGTATTCTATCAGTCGCTGGGTGCTGTTATTCTGCAATACTGTACATACAGTACGTTTACTGCTGTGTGAAAGTGGAAGACATTTTTGCATTGTTCTACTTTCTTCAATGTTTTTGTCCTTCTTTATACAGAAAGAAACGTAATGATCTTCTGCGGAAATTTTAGCCAAATTTTATATTTTAAGATAACAGTCAGTCCTTATACAGATTTGTATTTTGCCGTACAAAAAGGAGCCCTTTAGCTTCACGGAGACGTAGAGTGGAATATATGTTGTTAACCACCAGGAACACCTGACAGCAGACCAATTAGATATTATTGGCACGTGTGATGGATTAGCTGCTACAGCACTTCATAGAGACCGCTCACGTATAGTTTACCTTGTAGTGAGTAGTTGTGACCTCGCTTCTGAAGATTCTGGTCAATGTGAATTAAAATTTGCGAACTGAAAGGGCTTCCTTTAACACCAGACTCAGCTGCATCACTTAGACCAGTTGTCATGTTTGTAGCAAACACTAGCGGAGGCTTTAGGGAAATCGCTGAAGATCAGGACGTGCATGTTTTGTAAATCCTGAATGGTGTCTAAAATGTCTAAGACTTTTGCACTGCAGTGCCCATATAGAAAAATAATCAAGAGTGCAAAAAGGCAGACATTTTCAGTGAGTCATACTAAAAGCCACACCCCTGCTGCTGCCTTAAGCACACCGCTGATAAACATCGGGAAGGTTCATACTGTACATACATCAAGGTCTGCAACAGTTAAGCGCAGTCTGGATTCAAAACCTGGAGCTGTCATCTTACTTGTGCCATTCCAGGCTTATCCCACCGTCTTATTGGTTGCCCGGGGAGTTAATATTTGCATGGTCCCTCCTTCCCGCCTGTGTAAGTCGCTTTGCAGTGTGTGGTGATGCAGTTTAGTGCTCAGTGCGAGCGCAGCTGAGGCGCACGAAGTTGGGAGTGAGGAAACAGTTGATGCCATATTTTTTCCGACCAGAGCAACAAGAAAACAAAAAACAACTGCAGTGCATACCCTACCTTTCCACCAGAGCAGGTAACTGCACTTTCCGGTACCAAAGCGGAGTCCTGTTCTCTTTACGCCGTGGACAAGTGAGCAGAAAGCGGCTCTCACTTGGGGAGGTGGTGGGAAGGTTTAGAGCCATTTATTTTAGAAGGCACGCGTGCAGCATGAGGCGCAGTTATGGCCAGAAGGGGTAACACAGTTGTGAGGACCCTGGAGGATTTAACCCTTGATTCAGGTTATGGTGGAGCTGCGGACTCCTTCAGGTCGTCCAGCTTGTCCTTGTGCTGCTCAGACACGCACCTACCTTATGCACATGGAGGAAACTGTTGGCATCTAACCGACTCCATGCACAGTCGCCACAACAGCTTAGATACTGTCAACACCGTCCTGGCTGAAGACACCGAGATCCTGGAGTGCTCCGGCCAGTGTGCTAAGTTGCCCGAACTGGAGGATGTACCCTGGAGCATCGTGGAGGTGGAAAATGCCCTGAAGAAGGAGGAAGAGGTGAACGCGGGGCAGCTGTCGAAGGAGATTCTGGCGAAGCTGTCCTCCTTGGTGAGCAGGGCACTTGTGAGGATCGCCAAGGAAGCCCAGCGGCTCAGCTTGCGCTACGCCAAATGCACCAAGTACGAAATCCAAAGCGCCATCAAGGTAGTGCTGTCCTGGACCCTGTCGGTCAACTGCATCACGGCGGCGCTCAGCGCCCTGTCGCTCTACAACATGAGCACGGGCGACAAGTTCAGCCGGGGCAAGTCGGCCCGATGCGGGCTGATCTTCTCGGTCGGGAAGTTTTTCAGGTGGATGGTGGACAGCCGGGTGGCCGTGAGGATCCACGAGCATGCGGCCATCTACCTGGCCGCCTGCACGGAGAGCCTGTTCCGAGAGGTTTACACCCGAGTGGCGCACAGCGCACACGTCGAGAAGGAGAACGGGGTCCCGAAGTTGACTGTGGACTCCCTGGAGCAAGCTGTCAACAACGACTCGGAGATCTGGGGGCTCCTGCAGCCGTATCAGCACCTGATCTGTGGCAAGAACGCCAGCGGTAAGTCGCGCCCGCTACTGCAGCTGCGGCCAACAGTTGCGCCAAGTTTGCTTGCCGTAATTGTTTTCCATTGCGTACATTTTCAAGCGTTTGCTACTTGTAACTAACTGTATACAGTATGTACAGTCTCCCTCTAATGTATCAACGTGAATACGAGGTTCCTGTACTGTAAGCGGTCTTTTTACTGGCTGGAGCTTTGGGGCCATGCAGTAGGAGATCCGTTTAATTGCTGGTTTACGAAATGAATTACCTCAGTTCAGGAGAAAATAACAGTGCGGTGAACATCGGTACGCGTTTACTGGTTACAGCATGTCGATTTTTTTCTCCCAGTATGGGATAGCCTACTGTACGTCAGAACTGAAAATACGCTGTGTTTATTTCAAGGGAGAGACCAGAGGAATTCAATCATCAGTCTGTGTTTGTTTTTCATTTTCAATTCTCGAGAGATGCTAATGTATCACTATTTTAAAGGGTTTTTACATGATAGCGCCAAATGTTTCGAGAAAAAGAAGAAGAAATAACAGAAGGTTACACCCAGAGGAAAATAAATAAATATATATTGTGCTAAGTGCAATCCTGAAATAATGATAAAAACGTGCCTTAAGGAAAAAAAAGTATATCACAGATTTAAATAGCACTCTGGTTATACATCAGAGGGCAACAAAGGATGCTTAGAAAAACACTGCATGTGTGGGTGAGGTATCAGGAGTGAAGAAATGGACACGTTGCACCAAAAGACAGAAGGAAAAGATTTTAGCATTAGATCAGAAAAAACAGGGGTTTAACACAATTCAGCCCGTGTTCCATCAAGGATAAGGAAAATGATGGATGAAGATAACACTAACCGGGCTGGTGTTTGCAGAGGTGGAAAAACTTTTCTTAGAAGTCTTCTGCTGAGGTTGGGATCATGATTCAATTTTATTTCGTTGGTGGAAACCAGGTGAGCGTTCGGCTGTGAATTACAAAGATAGAGCTTTGCTTTTGAAAATGGCAAAACCTTCTTGTAGCGCAAAGACAATGCATTATAGGCAACACTTGAAAATGATTTTTCTAATTGCTTTCATTCCTCTAAATCATTTGTACACCAAGACTGCTCTGTGTCCAGATGAACTGATCCTTACACTGTAAAATCAAACATATCTTATTTAACACTATATATAAGTTACTACAAGATTATACAGTGTATACTGTATATACTGTATAACATACATAACAGGAAAATTGTTTAAGTTCCATTTGAGTATTCGATACTACGACATTCATGTAAATGCATTTATGTTATATACCTACAGTAAATTGAATCATTTATGTATTTTGTGTTAAACTACTGTACCCATGTGTAATCATTGCCTGGTTTTGGAGGGTATAGTAATTGCTAAAATTGTTGTTGTGCACATTAGCTACAGACAAGGATCAAAGCTAGATGTTTCCTTTCTGTTGATGTTTATTTGCTTCTTGAGGAAATAAACTGTCCACTTCACATCAATTAATATCCAGGCCCCACTGCCACTGTGATAAAGCAGGCAGCTGCAGAATGACATTTCATTTTTCTCCGTTGTGTTCACTAATGTGATGTGGTCCATGTGCCGCCTGTGTGTGCCATTTCTTAGAATTTCCCCTCATCCAATTTCAGTCTGGAGGGCCATTGAGACCCCAAAAAAAGAAAAATAAATTAACTAATAATTTAGTTTATTTTTTATAATAAAAATAAAATAAAGCTGTTTTTGTGAACATCAGCCTTGGATGAGTTTCTCTTGGAGGAATCATTATTGCTCAGGGTTTGTAGGAGACATTTGTTTCATAACACTTGCAGATGTCACTGGTACTGTTTAACCTTCCTGTAGGTCTGTTGTGAATCCTTTTATTCTGTTGGCTGATGGCTGTGTGTCTTTGTTATAAAATAAGCACAAGGCTCTTGTCCAATAGAGCTGCTGTAGTGCTTCACATGATATAAAACACATGGCACTGACAGTTTTCAGTCTTGTCTGTGAAAAGCTCAATTCTGCCATGTACGGTACATGGTTATGTGGGGGCAGTCACATTATCTGTGGATATTTTGCAGGGAAGAGTACCATACATTAGTGTGTCCTTTTATACTGTAATAAGCATGAGAGCAAATACTGTAGGTAACTGCAGAATTAATTATTAATATGGAAAATCTAGTAGCAGTGTTTTTGTTTTCAGATGGATTTGCTTTGGACTTGCGTGTGTATTAGTAAGGATCTCAATTTATAAAGCCTAAAATGACTGAAAAAATCAAACATATATCGATCACAGATAATGCTCAGCTCACATAGGCATTTGCAGTAAATGAAGTTACTGAAACAAAACGCAGCACCTTTCTTCCACGTTTGCCCCTTCTTGTGTCCACAATCATAGATGAGGAAATCATCATCCTAAACTGGTTTATGCACGCAAATCACCCCTTTTTCTGTGCTCATGTTTACAGCATGCTGAATAGAAGAAAATCAGCTTTTCAACAAGTAATTTAGGAGCTCAGCCAGCCACTGGAATAAAGATACTGTACTTCTGGATTCAAATCCAGCTCATGACCCCAGTGCAGAAATGAGTTTTGTGCTCCTTCCTTTCTCCTGGGGAACATTTGTCATCATGGGAAAAAGCCTGGAACTGGCACAACCCCAGAATCTAATGGCAAGTTTATTGGGGTTTTAGGACCTACAGTAAATTGAAATTCTCTCATTACCATTTACTTGTGCTCTGAACAGTCCAAGTTCTCCAATGTGCCATAAGTGACAAATCACCCAGAATGGCTCAATTTCATGATCATTAATGAGGATCAATAACTTAAGGTCATGCAAAGGACGAGGGCTATGGAAGACAAGACTTGTCTTATATTCAATTCAGTTGAATTCAGAATATTTTGTTTGTCCCCAAGGGGGACAATGTAAGCAGCAAACAGTGCAAAGTACCATGGTATGACCAAGAAAATAAAAAATAATAAATAAATAAAAATCCATAATCCACATGGACATAAGTCCATAATCATTTTATGGATAGAAGGTCCATAAAATGATTATGAATGTACAGTAACAGAGTGTACTGTATGTGTACTGTAAGGACTCTGTACTGTACTACAAGATCTAGTAGTTCAATAGTTCATTACCAATTTAAGAAAGTATTAAAGTGTACATTTTTAGAGGGAGCTCTATCCAATAGAGATCGTATTGATAAAAGCTTTTTATACTCATTGTTTACAGGTCTGATGGCATCTTATTTTGTTGCTAATAAAATGTCCATTGTGTCTGGTGAAAGGCAAGCCCTGAAAACAGTAATGCCCAGTGATAACATGCATCTGGATATTTGCTTTCAAGCTGTTCAGCACAATTTCTGTACTGTTAAACTGTTTATTCCCATTAATAATAAGTAGGGCTAAACCTTCACAGAAGGCAAAAAACGTGATGGATCTATAGACCTTTTTTAGTGGAATACAAGAGCACTTAACTCTGCCCCTTAGAATAATAAACACAGAAAAATGGATGAAATAATTTAGCTCTCAATTCTGTATTATATTCCAATAGTACTGCATCTGGATTGCATTAAATTTGTTAGGCCCAGGTCCTATTCCTTAAACGAGACACTATCTTCACAATTGGATTTTCAATTTTGATGGGAACAGAAGAGAAAATGTCTGGCAAGACTGGCATACAAAGTTTTTAAATACATTTTGTATTTTCCTGACTATTTAAATTGAGACGTTCCATCTTTTTATTGCTAAACTGTACAGTATTTACAGTATAGATCTGTCGAATACACAAGTATATTGGTATGGATATATAGTACAGTATAATCAAAATTGTGTCTTTATTCTTCCTCTGTAATTTTCTACATGTTCTACACTGTCTTCTACTGAGGATGACATTTTTATGGGCCATCATGTAAGATTATATCAAAAGCAATGCAGGGATGCCCTCTTCTTTCCTGGGTGTCACAGTCTAGCATGTCATTTCAGTAAGCCCAGTGTTTCGCTGTTTCAGTTCTCTATCCTGTGAATTCCTGAATACAGATGTAATGACATATCTGATGAGTGATTAATACTGGCAAATTAAGTGGTTATTTGGAAAGGAAGAAATTAACACTTGTTAAATGCTGAGACCATAAATGCCTGTCAGATATAAATGAGTTTAATCAGACCAATTGCACAGTACATTTGAAGCCAGTTTCCTGAACCCAGGAGTTTACCATACCTACTGTACCTCTTAGGAAATTGTGGTGAACATACAGTGAAGTAATCCATATCCTGCAAAACAAACTAATGGCATTTCAGCTGCTTTATTGCTCTTGCAGATGTGTTAGAATATTGCAGTTTAAAATTCAATGCCCACATTTTTATATTTAAAATAATGTAACTCAGTATTTTTTTTGCTCTGAGCACATGAGGGGGCATGCTAAGAACTGTGGCACTGTACTTAAATTCTTCTATCCTTGATCTTGCTTTTAGGCTTCACAGAGAATAAATTCCTTTGTGCCATGCTGCACAGATTTGTATCGATGTGCGTGATGTGTTTTCATCCTAATGATGGATATACTGTACTGTACTGTGCAACTGGTGCTGCATTCCTCACAATATTCAAATGGAAAAACAGTGGAAAGGAAGAGTTACTTCTTGAAATAAAACAGGAAGAAGAATTTTCAGCAGCAAAAATATCCCAGATCTCTTGGGGCGTTATGGAACCTCTTTATGCCAAAGCTAATCAACTTGTGTACAAAAAGTCAATGCATGCAAAAAACCCTAGGAGAAAAAATATTTGGACTCTTAGCAGCCTTATCTCCCTTTATTGTGCTCTTTTATTGTAGTGATGAGAAGAAAGTTGGGTTTTCTTTCAGGATTAGCAGTCTAAATTTTTTTTTTTGAATATTTATCTTTCTTGTTATTATTCTAAATATTTCAAACAAAAGGGTTTCATACACTCTCAGAATAACTGCTTCCTTAAGAAAGCAAAAACAGCATTTGAACAGAAGGGGCCATGATTGTAAAACAT